AATGCAATATATATTTTACAGTAAATAAATTTTTTTTTTTTCATAATCAACAATTTTATTGAGTTGGAATCTTAAGGCTTCAAAGCAACATTGACACAAACCAATATACCCATAGATAAAATATTATTAAATTTAAATCAAATGCAATATATATTTTACAGTAAATAAATTTTTTTTTTTTCATAATCAACAATTTTATTGAGTTGGAATCTTAAGGCTTCAAAGCAACATTGACACAAACCAATATACCCATAGATGAACTCATTAGCAAGAATAAAAACCACAAAAACAACTATAACGAGGTGCTGCTGCTGCTGCTGCTGCTGCTTAACAAGAATGAAACTAAAAACAACAAAAATAAATATATAAATGAAAAAAAAAAGAAACTTAAATATTTTTCAGCATATGAAATAATAAAAAATAATACAAAAAAAGTGCAACAGGTTATTGTGTGTGGTTGTGTTTTCGTGCTAACCTTGAAATAAAACTTGTTTAATCATTTCTCAGGCGACTCGAAAATGCAACAACAACTACAACAACAACAGCAGCAGCAACAGCAACAAGAGTCGATATACATATAGCATTAAATGGCGCATTATAAATTTAATAATTTTGTAAGCGAATTGCATTGGAAAATTTTTGTTGTGTCAAACGCAATTAATAACATCTTTCCCTCTCCCTTCCATTCTTCTTCTGTCTATTTGTCAGGTACAGTCGCATCGAAAAAAGTAATTTCCGCATTGAACCGTTATACTACAGTTAGAGAGAAAGAGAGAGAGGAGGAAAATGGCCGATTGCTCATTTGCCAGATGCCAGCAGGAGCGGCGGCTCATCAAGCGCGAGCTAATGAAGTGGTCCAAGGATATGCTGCACATTGTGGGTGAGTGGCCCAAAATGATTTACTTAACACCTGACTGCCCAGACCCCACTTATTTTACTACAGGTATGTGCTGTGCCTGCTCGCACAATCCAATTAAAAGAGCCGCGCAACAAATTTCTTCTTCCCCTTTTTTTTCTATCTGTCTATTATATGTATAAGTCTTTTACTTTTATTATTATTATTATTTTTTTTTTTTTTTGTGTGTGGACAAACATTTCCAACGGGTGCTGCTGCGTCATCTTCCAGCAGCGCCTTAACCCAAACGCACACACACACCTACACACGCAGCACTTGCATTAGTATAAGTGCAGCATTTTTATTGCCTTGACTATATACACTCGTTGCATGCCAACTAAATTTGAGTTGGTTGGAGTCGTCTCTCATATTAAGGCCGCAAATGGGATTTGCCGTTAAACGGTAAATGAAGTGTGCTCTAGCTAAAAAAAAGAAGAAGAAATGATAAAAAAAAAAGAAAACACCGGGCAGCAAAAGGAAAGTTCGACATGGAAATTGACTTTAGTCCACCCTAATCAACATAAGTTGGGCCCTGGCTCAGGCGGGCCATATGTTTCAGCTCTGTGCACATAGCACGAAGGATATGCGAAAGTAAAATAAACAAAATGCAAAGCTCTACCACACACACACACACACGCACGCACACATATACGTATATATACTCTATATAGATATAGATACCAACAGCTTTCAGGCTAAAGCAAACACCAAGAAAAATTAACATAAATTGCATTTGTTGTTGTTGCAGTTGTTGTTGTTGTTGTTTCTGCTGTTGTTGCTTATTGCATTTCTTGCTGGGCACAGCAGCCTCAGCGCCCTTCTGTCTCTAGCTGCCGCCTTTCGTCAGCCTTCGCTTCGTCCTGGGCAACGCTCTCATTTCGGTTTTTGAGCACGTTTAGCACGTTGCCGGCAAATCGCCACAGCGTCCTGCTCCACCCCTTCACCTGCCCACCCCTCACCTGCCCACAAACGTTAAATGCTCTTTGTTGTTTTTGTTGCTGTCCGGCTCTTTCTCTTTTTTCTCTTTTTTATATAAATTTTCCTCATTTTTTTTCTCTTCACATTTTTTTGTCTTGCTGCGCCACCCCCCCCAACCACCCCCTAGCAATGACGACGCCAACTTTGGGGCTCGTCCTTGCCCGCGTCCGTGTCTCGTGCACTCAATTACTTCCTCAATGCGCTCCATAATGCTTATCGTCCTTGTTTCTAGTTGACATTCCCGCACAGCCAGCAGCACTTCCAAGCCAGACTCCCTTCGCTCAAACCCTTGGCACATTTTTCCAGCGACAATTTTCGTCGAGGACGTACGGCCAGGGGTGGGGGTGGGGGTGGTGCTGGTGCTGGTGTTGGCGCTTGGTTAGTTTAGTGTAGTGGGGAGGGCGGGAGGCGGAGGCGGTTGCTCGGTGCGAGGTTTCGGCGTCGTTGTCGCACGAAGCTGCAAAAAAATTGTTGTCTGGCTTTCAGCTGGTGCAGCTTTTGGGGTTGGGTTAGTTTTTAGCTGCATCCTGCTGTCTGTGTGTTTGTGTGTGTGTGCGCCCAAAACGAAGTGCTATACGAGATAACGAAGCACACTTAAGCGCACGCACACAGCGATAGGATGACGCCGACGACGACGACATATCCCTACGAAATATATTGCACAATATAAAAATGCAGACGACGACTGCCGAATGCGACGAAACTGCTTTTGCTGTTGCTCCTTCCGCCCGGCTCGCAGCTCCCCGCGCTGCCTGCACCTTGGCTCTGGCCCCGCCTGTTGCTCAGCCATAAGCCGAAAAGGCACCTACACCCGAATGCTGGCGCCGAAAGACGAGCCAACGAGCAGCAAGCAGCGCCAACGCCATCATCAACTCGTCCTCGCCCTCGTCCTCGTTGCTGTTGCTGCTGCTTTTTGTGGCCGATTTTCGACGCCGTCGACGCTTCTGCCGCTGTTGCCGTCGCCGTCGCCATCACCTACACCTAGACTTCCGCTCGCTCACTCGCTCATTCGTTCTCTCTCTCTTTTTCTCTTTTAGTCACTGCCGAAATGGGAGTCGAGTTTCCAACGAGCTACCAATTTTTTCTTATTTTTTTTTCATTGCCCTCCCACCCAGGCACGTTCGTGTTTTTGGTAGATCGAAGAAGATGCCAACAGCAGGCGGGGGGCAGGCAGTAGCGAGCTGACCCACTCGCTGGTTTGGGGCGAGCTGGCTCTCGCCTGTTGCATCTGTGGGTTAAGCCACCCGGTTGACTGTGCACTGCCACGCTGGCAACGGCTCAATCAGTGGTGGCGTCGTATTTGATTGTAATGGGATATACCACTTGTAGATTCAGCTGGCGAAATCCAACGAATTTCAGCGCTCGGCCAAAAGGGAAGCTCTCTCCGATTGGATGCGCGAGTGTGAGGGATAATAAAAATGTAAATTCTAATAGAACTGAAGGGATTCGAGTAACGAAAGAACACACTATAAAAATAAAAAGCAATAATTTACTAGGTACTGAAGTAAAGAGGTAAAGCAAAGATATAATACCAAAACTCTAGGAAAGAAGAGGAAAGGAAGAAAATAAATTAAGCATAAAATTAAGAAATAATTGTTAGATCAAAGCAATTTAATTAAAAATAAAATGGCTAATATTTTTTTAAAATAGAAAATACTCAAATTATGGAAATACTATATACAAAGTAGTAGAAATAAACATTTAGGAGAAGGTATTTATTTAGGAAAGAAAAAGAAAAAACAGCAGGCATCCCAAAATTAAAAAAAAAATAAATAAATAAAAATAAATTTAAAATAAATAGACTAATTT